ATCTTTAGATCCAAATGTGCAAATACTTCTGGATTTTTCCTTATTATACTAATAACTTTCTTAACAATAAGTAAACATGTAAAATCTTAAAGACCTATGAGAATTTTGACACAATATATTAAGAGCCTTAAAAATGTTCATGCCTATGAACCTATAATTCCAGTTCCTGGGTAGAAATTATATCAAATAAGACTAGAAACCAAAACTTCCAACTGTACAGGTTCAGCACACCCACATAATAGTGTTAAACAGCCAGGAAAAATGACACATTTAATGGCAGAATAGAATGTAAAATGGTACCCAAGCATGGTCTCTATTATGGAGAGAAATATGAAACGAAAAAAATCCACTGCTTAATAATTACATTATTTCATAACTCAAATTTGCTTTACATTCATTACAATGAGCATATTTTATATAGACCAATATATAGTTCAGAGTGAGGAGAGCACTTATCTTTTAGTACTGAGACCATCTCTGATGATTTTATGGAATGATGCCAATAACTGACACCTTAGTCATCAAGAAAAGGTTAAAAAATGGATATATTCTACTTAATTGCAACAGTGTGCATAAACTCAAGCTATGTAGAATAATTTATTCCTTAGGATTCTGAAGTTAAAATTTTACAGTGGTCCTGAGAGTATGAAAATTGAAAACCAGACAAAAATACCAAGCGTTTTCTAATCAACTTACTACAAAAAAACTATGTAATAATGCAACAAAATAAACACTAGTTACCGTATTACCTTCTGCTTACTTCCCAATTTCTCTATTTTCAATGCTGAAAAGAATTATCTGCTAGGCCTAAAAACAAAAATACAGCACAGTATTTTGCCAGCAACTGCTAGAATTCACACCTTTAAAGTAAAAGCTCAAGAAAAAAATACCCACCACATCTGGGTGTCCACATCATATCTGTAGAGATCATCTGCAAGCCGATATTTATTAGCACTGAAAGCCTTGTAGCCTCCATGAACATACAGGGCTCTGGTCCTGTGGTCAAAGACACTGCTATGGCCATAGCCTCCCTGGACAAGGGCACCCTGGGTATGTATTATACTCCATGTGTTCTTATCTGAAAAGGGAAAACAGTTAAAGGCAAATGTTGCAGGCTCTTCCTCTTTAATACTTAAAATTACCAAATAACTTAGGATAAAAGAAGAGATTTCAGGAGACTTGATATGTATAATTTCTTTTTACCTTTTTATTTTTAAAGGAAGGCCACCTAAAACTTATAATAAAGCCAGGTGGTCAAATTTCAATCTGTTAAATGTTCTGATGTTCTAATATGCCATGTAGGAAAAGAATTACATTAAATTTAAAAGACTCGATTCCCTTTAATTGAATATTTAATTCCCCATGATCTTTACTGAACAGATGCACTTTATGGGCCTACTTTCTCAAAATATCAATTATAGCTGGTACTCACTCCTACTTCACAACAACAGATATAATAAAATTTAGCCAAAAGAAAGATTACATAGGAAGGGGAAATCACACTCCCCTAAACCAGCCTCCAAAGGGCTATCCAAATACTTTTTTCTTCAAAATATTTTTGAATCATGTTTGTTTGTTTTATTTTCAACACCTAAAGCATATAGTGCATCTTTGGCTCCTTGCCAAATTGATAGTAACAAATATATATTACATAGCAGGATCAATAATCTGAATGTCACTAGTAATACAGCAACGTTAGCTGCATTTAAAGATAAAGATAAAGTATCAGGTCTAGGTTAGATTGAATCTTGTTAAATAGACATAATGATAGGGTACGGGTTTAAAATTTGACACTCAAAAGAATCCACTGGAATAGAAATATACCTACCCAAGTCATATTCCTGTACATTGCTTATATATCCATAGAGAGGGCAGTGACCAAAGATGACCAGCATGACTACTCGGCCAGTTTTCAATGTGACAATGTGTGCCGAGTGCCCAACCACTGCATACTGCTCCTTTGCTTTAGGGGTCAACAAAACCCATGATTCATTATGAATATGAAACACTCTCAACTCATTGGTCACATTCCCTGTTGAATCAATTTTTCCTCCATACATGTAAATTTTATCCTACGGAAAAAAATGTGAACAAAATTCTAAAAAAACATTAAAAGGATCAAATCTGAGAACAGAAAAAGAGTAGTTCAAAACCTCAATATTATTCTTAGCTTAAAAAGTGTTAATAAAATGCACCTTTCAGTGAGTTACTAGAAAAAGGATGGCAAAAAGAACAAAATAAAATAAACCATATATCATATATCTCTAACACTTTGCCATTTTTCTTGGATTTCCTCACATAAAATCTTTTATGGTAATAAAATGACTTGGAAAAGTAGTTGAAAAGTTCCCTCATCCTACCATAAACCACAAAAATAAAAATGATTGTTCAGTTATATTGCAATGTGGCTACTCTTGGTTAACCTTGTTAATGAACATAAACTCTAATCTACTCTATATTAATTTTTAACCACTTAATATCACAATTGTAATACCCCAGTACAATTTGAATCCATTAAAATCTCTTGGGTTAAATTAGCTTCAACTTTAATTACCACTTATACATTAGCCAATTATATACCCTCTCCCCCCAAAATAGAAAGTTTTCCCCCAATTAAAAACCAATATGGAAGTTAAAATCATAGACAAAAAGTATAATGGTGTTTGTCAAGGACTATGGGAAGGAAGAAATGAGGACTTATTGTTTAATAGGCATAGAGTTGGAGTTTTACGAGATAAAAAGAGTTACATAGATAGATGGTGGTGATGTTTGCACAACGTTATGAATATATTTAATACTACTGAACTATACATTTAAAAATGGTTAAGATGGTAAATTTTACTTGATGTGGATTTTACTACAATCAAAAAGATTAGGAAAAAAAAAAACCCAACACTAAATAGCTTTTCCACCACATAATAGGATAAAGTCACCACAGAAGAGTGGAGGTTCTAGTCAAGTACAGAGTGGAGACATTTTACCTTGTATAATGCTAAAGAATGACCATATCTAACAACCACATTGTTCACAGAACGGTTCAGTGCAAGCCACTCCCTAGAAGCAAGGTCATACCTGCAAAAAGACCAAAACACAAACAAACAAAAAAGATCATATTTTCACTCAAATGACAAAACAGAATATCTTGTACCCTTTTATTTATGTTATAATCTAGTCTGGAGATGTTCATTACATCTGCCATGCATATGGGAAGGCACGTGGGCAAACGAACCTAACACCTGGGCCCACTGTGCATATGAGATCAGGAAGGGGGACTGGGCTACACAGCGCAGAGATGAGAAAGATATAAATCTACTGAAAGTTTCTAATGGTTCCCGAAATCCCTCTTCTATACCCAGTCTAAATCACTTTAAGGTTTCACTATACACAAAGAACTTAAGTTTTTAATACTGTTAACTTTTCTTTCATTTAATTATGTGAAATTGAAGCTAGGTACTGAGAAAGATGATAACTAGAAGAAAATTGCTAACTTTCCCTTTGCTTTATTTAATTGATTTTTATTTTTATTTTATTTATTTATTTATTTATTAGCCTACAGCACCTGGTCTTCCTAGGTGGTCTCCCATCCAAGTACTAACCAGGCCCAACCGTGCTTAGCTTCCGAGATCAGACAGGATCGGGCTTGTTCAGGGTGGCATGGCCGTAGACCTATTTAATTGATTTTTAAAGCCATATTTTTAAGAAAGCTAGAATACCATTATAACATTTTAATTATATTATGAATACATTTTATAAAAATAAATGCCAAAAAGAAAATAATTTACACTCTTACATTGTAGCTTAATCACATTCAGTATCTTAGAATACTCACTTTTAGTTTTTCTTTAAGGAAAACATCACTCTATTGTCCTCGTTAAAATCATAACACACATTATGAAGAAGGTAACCAATGCAAAAATATGAAGAGCTAAAATCTTTAAAAATGATCCCATTTCATCACCGAAAAATGAATATCATTAAGTAAACATCATTTCAGACATTTTTCTATGCATATATAAAGAGAGAGGAACAGATTGACACTATATATAAAGGGGATCATACTATAGGTGATACTTTTAATAAATATTAATTTTAATTTTTATATAATTTAATAGAAAAAATCAAAGGGAAACCAACGTTATACTTTAAATGTTTATTTTCTATAAGTTCCCTGAATAATACACGTGTTTTTAATTATGAAAAATATTATGTCAATAAGATGTAAGAAAGTTTTACCACAACAGAAAAAAAGGAAACAAATATTCATTAATAGAAAATGGATTAATAAATTCTAGTTATTTATATAATAATTACGCAAAGTGAAAAATAAACTCAAGCAACCTTTTATCAACATATATCTTAAAACAATAAAAGCTAAAAAAGCGAACTACAGAATGCTATTTCTATAAAGGCTAAAAACAGAAAATTTATTAATTCTAATATATGTTCATATATATTAAAAATGTGAAAATATGCATGTGGACAAATGACACCAAAAAAATCAGGATATTGATTATCTCTGAGATTTTAGAAGGCCATGCAAGGGTCTTCAACTTTATCAGCAATGTTTTATTCCTAACCTGGGTGGTAAATGCATTAGTATTCATTATTCTCTAAACTTTTCCTTTTGTCTTAATATTTTATACATGCTCTGAAACAAATTTAACAAAATTATGACTTTTATTAAATATGAATAGTACATAGGTTAATATCAGCTATTATTTTATGTATTATTTGAATATTCTACATTCTAAAAAATATATGAAAAACTTAGAGGTCAAATTCATTTTAGTTTTTAAATTATAATTTAATTTTGGACAGATCTACTCACTTTCTGCTTTTAAAGTTGAAAATCTTAGCACTCACATTTCTTCCCACTTCTCGCAATTTTTGTTATATAATTTTTACATTGCCCAGATTCATAACATTCACATTCCATTCTATAACTTTAATTCCATAGTTATTTAGTACTGAGTCTATAGTTTTTTTCTTTTTTCTTTTCCATGTTTAGGGCATAATGTCACAGGAAGGTCATAGTACTCTACCACCTGTGAGGAGTAAACCCATATTCCTGTTGGATGTGTTGTAAACAGAGAAGCCATTCTTCAGACTCCCTGCTCTGATCACACCCCTTGGGTCTATATTTTAGATGAATCAATCTCCTCACAGTCCTCTTACTACAACTTCTCCTTAAGTCTTTAATTCTTAATTGGTTGGGTTTCACTGTCTAGTCGCCTTTTTCTAGCTGAGCTCGTATGTACTCCTTTCTCTAAATTATGTTGTTTTTAAGAACAGCATCTGCTTGCCATCTTTACAGCTGAATGACCCCTTGTCCGGGTATAATATTCTTGAACCATCCTTTCTTCCCTTCAGAACGCTGCAGATGCTGCTCTCTTGAATGCTGGTATTGAACGATGATATGGAGAAGTCTAAGGCCATTCTTTTTTTCCCTTTTATAGGGTTTGCTTTTCTGCTTAGAAGCCTGAAGAAGTCTCAATCATTCTTATTCTTTCTGCACCATACCTCCTTTTACCCTTCCCTCTCTCTCTCCCCTTCTCTTTCTCTCTATATATCTATCTTTATTTTTTAAAAAACACAATATTGTACTATACTTAGGGTTAAAATAACTTAAATCCTCCCAGGAAAACTGACTGCATACTACTGCAACACTTTTGTGGAATTCTAACTATGGAAGGTGTTTCCTGAGAAGGACTACTATGGCTTCTGAAAACACATTTACACCTAGTATTCAAGCCAGAGGCCTGTCTCTGCAAGCTTGAAAGAAACAGAGGAAGCACAGAAACAAGACGCCAAATGATCCAATCCATATCTCTTTCAAGTGACACAGGGGGGTACCCAATCTGTATCCTCCTCAGTCAACATGTCAGCCCAAGAGCTTGTCAAAGGACAATAAGGGGACTGACAGGTCTCCATAAATTGGCTAAGATATAATGTCAAAGGATACATAGGCTGTCACTCTTTTCACAACACAGAAAAGCAAACACAATACAAGGTCAATATTAATGCAATAACATATAAGAAATTCCAAGCAGAAAATCAATGCTCCTTCTTCTAGAAGCTGAGGCCAAGATAATGGAATACTGTCCAATTCTAAGACTTTGACAAGGAGATGTGCAAAGACAAAGTTTGGGAATTCAGAAACAGGGGTCTTCCACAGAGCTGCAGCCATCGCTCTCACAAACTCCTCCTGGACGGCTGGTGACACAATGACCATGATGCCACCCACAGTGGCCTGGGATTCCAATCACAGCAACTAGCCATCCAAGACCATGGCGAAGGCTCTGCGGAGATTGTGCACGACCCTAGCCAGCAGGAGGTACAGAACTATCTGAGACTTCCCACTCAATAATTTGTCCTTTATCCTAAAAGTTCAGTAACTTGATCAAATCAGGTCTTATTGAACGACTATAAAATTTTCCTGAAATATCTTGTGCTATTCCAATCCTTTTGTTTTCTATTAGGTTCTTTTCTTCAGGGACAGCAATTATCTTTATTTGGCTCTTCTGCCTTCCATGTATTTTTTGCTTTTCTCTTAATTAATTTAACCTCTTCATCTGTATTCACCGGATTCATGTCCATTAAGCTGTCAGTAATTCAATTTTCATTCTAGTTTTTGTTGTATATAATTTATTTGGATTTCTTTAGGTGTGTAATCATTTCATCTCATTGTTATTATTTTCTTGCCTTTCAGCTCGTTTTCCTAAATTCAAATTCTCGTTAAGCTGATCTGTAGTATAAAGCAGTTAGAAGGAACTGCTCTTTGAATTTATTTTTTCTCTTGTCAGCTTTTACATGCTGTGTTCTTTCTTCCTCTTTATTTTTTCATCATAGACTATTTCCCTTAGTAACAATGTCACTTCTTTCACCTTGCTTGTGGTTAGACACTGTTCTCTACAAATTTTATTTGCAATGTGTGGGTGATTTCATAATTCTTTTTCCACTACATTTAAGACAAGTTTGTCTCTCCATCCTAATACAAGCGTGAGGGCTGATATTTTATATTCTATCCACTTTCCTGAAGTCTGAGGAAATGCTGGGGCTCAGGCCTATTGGAATACATTATCCAGAATCTCCTCTCCTCTGAGATTTTGTGTAAGTGTTCTACCTTCAGTGTTCAAAGTACACCCAAAAAATAGAAGCCCTGACTTTTGGGCAGTCAGACATTTGATCAAATTCTGCACTCCCCGACCTCCTTCACCTGATCCTCCCCAGCAACTATTTCTCCTATTCTTCGTTAAAAGAGTGAAAAGGCAATGATACCCACTCAGTTTGCTTCTTTCCAGATTTGGGGCTAGTGAGAACGCTCAGAATCTCACCAAATGGTTTCTGTAGGGCAGAGAAAAAGGGTTGGTCTTGCTCTTCCTGTGAGTCTATTTTAAAGTTTACTGGATTATTATCCTTTCCTTATTTGGTTCCCTGTTGCTCAATTTCTTACTATTTTTAAAAACCTTTTAGAAAACTCTCTTTTGTTCAAGGGAAGGAAATTCAGTGATGAAGTTTCAATTAGAAATCTTAATGTGGAAGACAAAGACCATTTGTTTTGCAAGAGGACCCTTAGGTGCCATAAAATGGGAACTGCTTTATAATGTAACTTAAAAGTTTTGGGTTAACAAGGTTGTAGAGGAAAGAGAGTAAGAGCAATTCTTGAAATATGCTTATATGCGTATAGATAATGGTAAATTTTATTTTATTTAAGTTCCAGAAATATTTCTTCTAAAAGGAGTCATTACATTTACTTTTCATGAGTTAAAAATTTCTTTCAAACTATATTAATATTTACATGAAATACACAAAGCTACAAACATGGTTTGATCAAGTACAAGTGGAAAAAAATGTTAGTCTATAAAAAAAATGTGGCTCATGAGGTATACCAAATAAGCAGGTGACATTAATATTTCCAGGAACAAATATATGTGAAGGAAATAAACACAGTTAACCTTTGAACAACACAGGTTTGAACTGCAGAGGTCCACTGAGAAGCAGATATTTTTCAGCTGACCACAGTTCATTTGACCTGTGCGGTTCCACTGACCAGTGTAGTTCAAACCCATATTGTTCAACGGTCAACTCGAAGGTTGGGAATCTGTGCATGCAGAGGGCCAACTGTAGTTATATGGGGATTTTTGACTGCCCGGGAGGTCAGCCCCTAACCCTCATGTTGTTCGTGGGTCAACCATAATTCATTTACTCTCCCATTCATGTGATAAATACTTATACATGTTCTATGAGTTAAGCTCTGACCTGAGTGAGTCAACAAGGTCTTTAATCTTGGAGAACTTATAGTAGAAAAGGCAGAAAATGAACAAGCACAACAATGGACACAGACAGAATAAAGAATTATTAACACCGCTCTAAAGAAATGAGAACTATGAAAAAGGACTGAATGGTCAGAAAAGATCTCTCTGTGGACTGTTAAACTGAGACTTAAAAGGTGATAAGACATTGGCCCTGAGGTGCAACAGCAGGAACATTCTAGGCGGAGGGAACTGCAAGCTCAAAGGCCCTAAAAATTAGGATGCACGTCGTGAATTTTAGGTCAAGAAAGAAGGCTAGTGGGATAGGAGTACAGTGGATGAAGGTAGGAAGGGAACAAACTGAGTCTGGAAAGGTAAGGAGTAGTCAGATCATGTAGGCCCATTAAGTCCAATGGGAAGCCACTCGTGGGTTTTAAAAAGGTAGTAAATGCTATGGTTTATACTTTAAAAATATCATCCCAATTAATATTTAGAAACTGGATTAAGAGAAATGAATGGAAATAGCCTTGATAGGTATCTTTCTACTATTGAAGCCTAGGTGAGAGATAATGGCAGGCTGGTCACTGAGAGAAAAGAATGAATATGACATGCATTTGGTGACAGCCTGATATGAGATTATGAGAAGGTGAAGGAGAGGAAATATCAAAATGACTCCTAGATTTCCTGCTTTGAGAGAGAAGGATGATGTCAGGTGCAAGGGTAAAATTACATACATGGTATAACATATGACTTTCATAATATCTACCAAAACAGTGGAAGGAACAATCACCTTCACACCTTTAATTTTACCTTTACTTCTCAGGGTTGCGGCATTAGAAGTAGTGAAAAGTGGGATAGATTTTAAAGGCAGAGCTAACAAGATTCACTGACATATTGTGGCAGACAAACAGTAGGGTGGTCCTCATGATCCCTGCCTCCTGATGTTCATACTCATGTATACTACTCTCTCCTTAAGTGTGCACTTCTAACCAACAGAATACGGCAGAGACGATGAGAGGTCCTTTCTGTGATATCCATCCTGCTAGCAGATTCAATCTAGAGACTCTCCTTGTGGCCTTATGAAGTAAAAAACCATTTGAGGGAAGCTCAAGTGATAAGGAACTGTGGATAGCCTCTAAGAGTTGAGGAGTTGAGGGTGGCCTCTAGTCAACAGCCAGCAAGAAGCAGGGGCCACCAGTCCTACAACCACCAAGAAATGGAGTGTGCCAACAATCTGAGATTGGAAATGGATTCTTCACCAGCTGAACCTCTAGAGAAGACACAGGCCAGGTGACGCTCTAACTGCAGAGGACCCAGGTAAGCTGTGCTTAGATCTTGACCAGCAGAAACTATGAGGTAATTAATTTGTATTGTTTTAAGCTAAGTTTGTGGTATTTTATTGTGCAACAAGAGGTAACTAATACATATGCTGATACAGGGTGTGAAAAAACAAGAAGTCAAGGATGACTCTAAAATTTTTGGCTTAAGCAAACAGAAGGATGGAGTGGTCATTAACTGAGGGACACCTGGGGCAAAAGCAGTCTTGAAGGAAAAATTAGTTATGTACACACTGAGTTTAAGATGTCTATTAGATGGCCAAAAGATTGACATGTCAAATAAAGAGGTGCAAATATGGGTTCAGGTGAAAAGTCCAGGCTGCAGATATAAATTTGGGAGCCACTAGCACAAAGGCCAACATATTACATGAGATCACCAAGAGAGTGAATACACACTCTCACAGAAGAGGACCAAAAAAAGGGGCACATCACCATTCAAAAGTCAATCAGTTGAAAAGGAATCAGCTAAGGAGGCTGAGAAGGAATAAACAGAAAAAATATCAAGACAATGTGGTGTCGTGGAAGCCAAAGGAAGAAAGT